ATAATAAGTTATGTTTTTTAATAAGTTAGCTTTTATTATAGTAGCTTTAATAATATAATAATAAATTTATGATATAAATAATATTTATTTATTATGGATATATTATTTTTACATTACATTTGTTAGCATAAATTTTTATTATTAAAATTAATTTTACTTATAATAATTATATATTTTTTATATAATAGGTTAATATTTATATTTATATTACATTTACATACATATATATTATTATATTAATTATATATTATTATATTGTTATGTTATTATTAAATACTGTTATATTATATACTATTTTCTAATATTTGTTTATTATAAGTTTTTTTCTATTTTTATTTATTAAAAGTTAATAATATTATAGCAATTATACTATTGTATAGTATATTATTATATTATTATTATATTATTATATTATTATTTATTGTCAATAACTTTATTATTATTTTTATTAGTTTATTTACATTTTCGTATTATTTTTATTATATAATACATTATTAACATATTAAATACTAGTATTTAATATGTTATTATATTATTATATAAGATATTTTATTTATTATATTTTTATATTATTTAATAAATATTACTAATATATTATATTAACTCTAATATAGTATAGTATAGTATAATATAGTATAATAAATATGTCAATAATAACTCTATATTAATTAGATTTAATATATTATGTTAGATATTATATTAACACATTCAGAATCAAACTCAAAACCAAAATACCAAACTTAAAACACCTAAAATGTGTTTTGAAATAAGTGTTGTATTTTTTGTTTGAAAATGATTTAGCTTAAAAAACACAATGGTTTCAAAACGCATGGTGTTTTGTTTTTGGCAAAAACATCATGAAAACAAGTAAAACATCATGATATCCAAACGGAACCTTAGTTAATACTTTATTATTTTGACCTAACCCGATTTTAACTAGACCGAAGTTTGGTCATTTATATCTTAGTTAATAACTTTACTATTTTGACCTAGCCTGATTTTAACTAGACCTAGGTTTGGTCATTAATCAGAGTAGAGCGAATTGTAGGGGCAGTGGTACGAAATAAACCGGATTATGTTGATTTAAAAAAAATGCGAGAAAGAAAAGAAGGGAAAGGAAACTAAATAGAATCTAACTCAACTTGAATTAAATAGACGTAGCCAAATATTACTAAATAGGATTTTCAATTGAAAATAACAAAATCAAAATTAATTTAAAACCGATTTTACTTATCGAGGTCGAATGTAATTAGACCAGCAATAATTTGATTTACTTTACCAAATGTCGAACTGACCCTTAAAAGGGTTAATTTCATAAAACCCCATGAAGTTCCAGGGGTGTCGCTGATAACCCCCCTGAATTGTTCTACTCCGAGAAAACCCCTTGAACGTTGGGGATTCTCTCAAGGACTCCTGAAATTTTATACTTTTTCCAACAAGCGCCTGACAGTGGTAATGTCTGTTGTAAAAGGATGAAAATATCCCTTTAACATTAAACTGTCATCATTAAATTTAATTAATTAATTAATTTTTGCTTAAATTGTTGCTCGAAAATTATGATGTGAGGTTTGTTTTGGGAAAAAAGTATTTAAAAATATTAAGAGGATAATTGTTTGAGGATTGAGGGGTATTTTTTCCATTATGCGTATACTTGACACGATACACGTGGGCTTAATAGTGTTACTTTGGAAGGTTAGGTGAGAAAATTTTCACCGGATTTCGCGAGATAAAAAAGTTCAGGTGCTTATATGTAATCTTTTGGTGTTTATAGGGTTAAAATTAGGGGTGCCAAACCGTATCCGTATCCGAGGAAATATCCGTAACCGTATCCGTTAGGATATGAATATGGTTACTCAAATCTATTACTGATAGGATATCGTTACGGATATGGTTTTGTAGTAAAATATCCGTATCCGTATCCGAAAATATCCGAATACATATTGGTAATACTCTTACGATAGTTTCGATTCTTAGATTATGGATTTGTGGTTAATTTTGATGATCAAGATGTCTAATCTTAGCTTTTCAATCATAATGCACATATTAACGAACTCTTTTTGTATCACATGACTATATTTTTCTGAATACTATCTAGTTTTCTCATATCTTTTTTGTATCCGCATGCATATCCGTTTATATATCCGCATCCATATCCATATCCGCATGCATATCCGTTTATATATCCGCATCCATATCCGTTTATATATCCGTAACCGTATCCGATTTTGACGGATATGGATATGAATTTTTCTTACCGACGTAAATCTGTATCCGTATCTGTATCCGAGATGGGTAAGCGGATATGGATATGGTAAGTGCCATATCCGAGCCGTATCAGCTCCGTTAACACCCCTAGTTAAAATAGTTCAATGTGAGTCCTCAATCTCGAGCGAAAAATTTTAGGAGGGCTTTAGTGGAATAAAAATAATTTAGGGGTTTATGTACAATCTCTGGGGTTTTCTCGAATTAAAATACTACCGGATGATTTTTTTGCAAAACCCTCACAGTTCAGAGGGCTTTTTGAAATTAACCCAAAAAACTTTAATTATTATTATTTTTGAACATAAAAACCTGAAAACCCTTTTTATGTTTGGCTTCGCTTAAAGAAGAAAATAATCCGTTCTCAGCTTCATATTTTGACTTACGGGGGTGGTGACCATAAGCACGCAGCGTAGAGTAATGCTGACGCCAGCATTAACGTCACGATGAGAAGATTACACGGTCACACCTAGTTTTAAAAAGATTCGGTGAGCGTACCCTTAATCTCACCCCGAATATGACTTCGCCCCACTGATCACGACAGAGAAGAACCAATCCCGTGGTTCAGGGCACCGCCTAGCCAGGCTTACCGCTCTCGGGTACTATCGAATGTATCCGTAAGGAGATCCGAAACCATATCAAGGTTAATTCATTATATTTTTCTCTTTTAAATTTAGATAAATTGCAGTTACCTCGCATGATTTTTATCTTCAATGTCATGTAAGTCAAGTTGATCAGCTAGTTGGTCAGTTTATCACTTGTATCCTGTTTGGATGGAGGGTAGAGAGAGGGAAGGGAAGGAAAATTTTGAGAGTTTCATTTTGAAGGGCAGATGAGGGGAATGGAGGAGAAATTTGGCCCGTTGTCTAAAAGTATCATTTTGGAGGGTATAGAAAATATTGACTTGAGAGGCTTGAATTTGTGATACGTTACCTCCAAACAAGCTAAAAGTATCTAAGGACACATCGTCTAACATGTCTACTTATTTTATTATATCAAAATTTGTATACATTCACCTTTTTAACTTTGGATGCTTTTGCATGCATCATTCTACTTATCTCATACATATGAGTGTGGAAAAAAAAAACTCTTCAAATTAAGCCAATAAAACATGGTCTTATATATTAATACAAGCATTGTCTTCAGATCTATACTTTCGTTATTTGATTATTAATTGGTTTTATATTTTCTGTTTTTATCATCCTCCTTGATAATGTTTCACATTATAATTTTGTGTTTAAGATTTTTCTACTTCTTATATCATATGCTCCAATTTAAGTGAATATGTAAATTTTCTCTTATAAATATTCTGAAAACTCTTACATCTATTTAACAAAGTTCATCATATCTCTCTGTAAAAACTGCATCTTTACTCGTCACGTTAACTGAATTTCTGTTTTCAAAACGTCCAAAATCCAAATCCAAAACCAAGTCAGGTCATCAAGTCCACGTGCTCACCTAAATTGACCCACCCATCAGAAAGCGGGTCAATGACAATCCCAACCCGGCCCGTTAACAAAGCAAATAGAATAAGACTTCGGCGGAGTAAAATGCTGTGAACACATCACATGAAGACGAGCCTTCAAAGAAAAATAAACAACAGCAGCCCAAAAATACACTGCACAGTCTGCACGTAAGACCAAACACACCCAAAATCTCACCCTCGCTCCAACACCAACCACCACCGAACACGTCATCGTGAAACGAGAAAAATGAAAAATTCCCCAAAAACCCAAAATATAGAACCAACAGAGGGGACAAATGATATGCTCACTTCCTATTCATAATGAGCTGGTCATCATTAATAATTAATGATGACCAACTCATTATGTAATAGGAAGGAAACATCTTACATGTCCTCACTGTCGATCCCATATGTTAGGTCACGCAGCAAAACTCCAGAAAAATTATAGAGTAAATCGAGAGACGTCCTCTGCAAGCGAAACCACCAGGAAACGCGCTGTCTCTTTGCTTTGGCTCACGACACATAACACGTCATCGATCCCTACCACCGGATGGTGACGACACCGCATTCGTCAGCGTAAGACTTCAGCATCTAACCGAAGCCACAAGCGGTCCCGTCACCGCCCTTCGAAGACTTTTCTAATCGTACCATCCATCATCCAACTTTCCAAACTTGGCCCACGTAAATGGATACTCTCGTAGTATTATCCATCACCAGCTTTGCAAATTTGACCCGCACAAATAGATATTTGCTAATTTATCCCAATTCTACTACAACAGTTTAAAAACTTAAATAGACTCTGACAGCTTATTGCGTGTTCTTCGAAGGCGAAGTTGCCAAATTATAGAGCCTACAACTGATTTTACTAACTTTTCTAAGTCTGATCACATCTTTAAACACCTTGAAGTTACTAAAATGTCAAAAAAATGAAAAATGCATCACGGATTCAATGAGATTCAAACCAAATAAGCCAGAGCTCGACAAAATAAATGATGACTTGAGTAATCAATTTCTATGTTACGTTATAAGTCCTCAACTTTCAAAAAAAAAAACATTCTTAATTTTTGAAAGACGAAGGGGAAAGTTTCAGCTGGAAGATTAATAGAAAAACTTCCAGAAACATACCTCAAGGTAATTTTAAGAAGGTATTTTAACCAGCTCAGGGGGACAAACGTTCAAATATCTTCATTAGGAAAAATTTGCAAATGTAGTTAATGTGAGGGATATATAGATAAAAAAACCTAAAATAATTCCCGAACGATTTCCAGACAAATTCGTAGAAGGAGATCGAGACCCATTACCCACTTTCTTCGGCTGTCTCAGTCTCTGAACTTGTTCGCTGTTCTTCTTCTCAATTCAGTTCAAAATCGCTCTCCTCTTAGCTTCAATTTAATGTAAAGTTGGAAGCTTTTACTGCGATCCTGTTACAATTTTCGCCAAGATTCGAACTTTCTCTCATGGAGGTAGACGTAGCTGGAGCTCACAACCCCCAAAAGGACCGCTTCCGCCGGTCAGCAGCGGGGCTTAAATCGATAGCGATCCTGAACTAATCGCGAAACCTCGCAGTATTGGAATTCGATCACCGGCCGATGGCTTCAGCTCCTCCTTCGCGATTCGCCAATACCATTCGTGTTAGGGCTTTCCGTTGAATTTTGATGAAAGATTCATTCTTTTGAGCAAACTGACCTCGATCAAATCGGTACCAAATTCTCATCTCACTGACCTAATTGCAGCATGTAAACCTTAACCTCTGGAATTCGAGTCCAATCAATGGCCAATTCGGCCGAACCCTCAGCTTCACTGAGCTTCACCTCCTCCTCTTACCTCTCCAATGGCTCCTCAGCTCCTCCTGCTCCAACTGAGCAATCCACCAACCTCGAAATCGTCAGCCTTTCTAAACTCAGCAGCAATCTGGAGCGCCTCCTCGTTGACTCCGATTTCGACTGCACCGACGCCGACATCGTAGTCGAAGGCGTTGATATTGGTATTCATCGGTGCATCTTGGCGGCAAGAAGCAAGTTTTTTCGCGATACTTTCGCGGGAGGGGGGAACAGTGAGGGGAAGAGGCCAAAGTATTGTATGAACGAGTTGTTGCCTGACGGTGGGAGGGTTGGGAAAGAGGCTTTCATGATATTTTTGGGGTATTTGTATACTGGTAGATTGAAGCAGTCGCCACCCGAGGTTTCGACGTGTGTGGACCCTTCGTGTGCTCATGATGCTTGTCGACCTGCTGTGAGTTTTGTGGTGGAGCTGATGTATGCTTCTTGGATGTTTCAGATTCCGGAGCTGGTGTCGCTCTTTCAGGTATATAATGAGACGGCGAATTGGATCATATTACA